TTAACGAAAGAAGTTATAGCCATACTCCTTAAAAATCAAAAATTAGATGAAGCTTTTCGAATATTTAAAAAAATGAGAACAATTAATCTGATTCCAAATATACATATATACTTATAATGCGTTAATTCATACTCTTGGAGCATTGGATGTGATTCAAGATATGGAACCACAACAATTGGTCCGTGACACTGCATCCTATAATGTACTAATAAAGATTTATAATCTTTCGAAAAATTATGAGAAAATACAACAACTTGTTGACGAAATGTTAAAAGCAGGCATAACATCCGACGTGAGGACATTTGGAGAGTTAATGAGTGTATATGAAAAATTAGCAAAGGTCAATTCGGCACTTGCCTTATTACATAAAATGATAAATCTTGGAATTCGACCTAATAGTCATATTTATACATCTTTAATTGAACTTTTTGTAAATATAAATGATACTGAATCTATGGAAAAATTTTTTCATAATATGATAACAGATGGTATTAGACCTCAAGAAATAACTTATTATATGCTAATTGCCGGATATTGTAATGCAGATAATGTATATAAAGCATTTCGCATTTGTAGAATAATGTTAGAAATGGGTATAGAACCAACAGTTCGTATATATAATGCATTGATATCGCTTTTTGCTGAACGTGGGGATCCTTCCAGTGCATATCTGTTATTTAACAGGAATAAAACCACAAACTGCTACTTATAATATTTTATTACACGCATATGTAGAGAGGAAGGATATGGAATGTGCAAGGGAAATATACATCCTGACAATTATACTTTTTGTTGCTTGATAGATGGGTTTCGTGTATAGATGCAGACATTTGAAGACGTATGGCTACGTCCAACTGACGTGTCGTCACGTCAAACGTATCGTAACGACGTAGGTCGTAATTACTGACTGACGTTTGCCGTAACTACTGATGTCTGCCGTAGCTACTGACGTTTGCCGTAGCTACTGACGTTTGCCGTAATTACTGACGTTTGCCGTAATTACTGATGCTTGCCGTAGCTTATTTTAGTGGTTTAGCGAAAAATATGGTAAAAGTGAAAGTGGAGGATTTTTGACCTGTCAATGTTAGACGTCACTTTCAAATTTCCGTCAATTAAAAATTGACGTACGTAGCTTCGAAATTGTAAATTAAAATACTTCATATTTTAATCGGTATCGGTATGATTTTATCGATCAAAAAAAACTTCCAAAAAAAATTCGCAATGCAAATCAAATTATTTTTTGTTTTCTATCACGAATTAATATAAACAGTGTCATGTTAAGAACTTATTCACTGTTCTAGTGAACGTAATATGAGTATCGCCAAAAGAAAACTTGACAATTTAAATATAGTCTATATTTAAATTGTCGAGTTTTCTTTTGGTGACACTCATATATAGTTGAGTTAGTTTGCATTAAAATTGTCATGATTCCTATCGGGAGTTATTGTAAATAATTCTATTATAGAATTACTCACTATTTCAGTAACTATTAATATGTGATTAAAATTAGTTAGTTTGTATTAGAATTGTCATGATTTCTATCATAAGTTATTGCAAATAATTTGTTACAAACTTACTATTCTAGTTATTATAATATATGGTTAAAATATCTTGAAATTGTTGTGATTTCTTTAATCATTAGTTACTTAAAAATTTTATCACAAACTTACTTGCTATTCTATAAGTTAGTTCGCATTGTAATTTATGTAAATAATTCTGTTATAGAAAAATAATTGCTATTCCATAAGTGTTTAATGAGTTATTTTGCATTTATTGCGATTTGCAAATGATTTATTTTTGAACTTGTGGATTGCTGCTGACCTATACGATCACCTGATTTTGTTTACAAATCTCATGAGCTACTGAAAAATTCTGTTATAGAATTTATTTACTATTCTGAATAAGATGAGTTAACTTGCATTGAATTTATCATAATTCTATAGCATGCTACTGCAAACAAAATTTTGATACAGAACTTACTACATATTCTGGTGTTCATAATATGTGATTAAATTTTAGTTAGCTTGTATTGGAATGTCATAATTTTTATTGTAAGTTATTGTAAATAATTCTATTACAAACTTACTATTCTAATATGTGGTTAAGTTAGTTTATATATTGTTATGAGTTCTAGCCCATTGACTATAATATGTAATTAAGGTGAGTAAGCTAATCAATATTGGAACTGAGCTACTTAAAAATCATATTACAATACTTACTCACTATTTCAGTGACTACAATATGTGGTTAAAACGAAATAAAAACTAAGAAATAATTATCAACAATATATATTACTTATAAGGTATTTGGAACTTCTTTGGAATCACTAGTAGTATTAGGCATATTCATTTTGGTCTGGTCTTTTGTTGCATGGTAACTATGCTAACAACTATGTAGAGTGTACTTAAGGATATAATTTTTGAAAGAACTCAGATATTCAATCCAATTCAGGTTTTTCAGTTTATTATAGGAAATATGTAAAGGTTTTATGAATGCTGATTGCTCAGATTTACATATAATTATACAAGTCATATAAATATTACAACTAGTGCTTCTAGGTCTGAGTCTGGTCCAGGGTCGAACCAGACTCAGACTCAAAATTTCACTAGTTTCGAACTTCAGACCAAACTCAAACTTAATTATGAGTCTGGTTTGGGTCTAGTCCGAAGTCTGCAAACTAGTTCAAGTCTGAATATATTTATATATACATATATTTATTTTTGAACTTCGGATCTAGTATTTGGACCCATTATTACCTGGGTAACCTGGTGGTCCAATAAGCTATCTTTAGATAAACATTAACTTCGTAAAATAGGAGGAACAGTTAATATTACATAACTGAACTTTCTCTGGTGTGCAACATATAAAAAAATCAATTTATAATACCAAATCATTCCACTAGTATATGTTATGATTATAATCTCATTTTTATTATAATAAAATAGCATGGGATTATAATTATAACATGTACTAGCGAAATGATCTGGTATTATAAATTAATTTTTTATATAGTACACATCAGGTGAAGTTCAATCGTGTAACATCGATAGTTCCTCCTATTACTTCGTAACCTATTTATTAGCTGAGTTGGGTGATTCGGCAGTGATGAATAATGTTGGTTTTTGTTACTGCCATAGAATTTAAGTAGAAATAGATTCTTAAAATTATTTGGATATTGTAAGAAATCTGCTGATTTGAGCAATGCCACTGCAAAATATAATATTGGTGAGTTATAATAAAGCATTTGAATAAAATAAAAAATCTGCTAATGAATTATCTAATATATTAATCTGAATATAGGATGTGCAATGGGCCGGGTTAGACTAGGTTTGCCTGTGCCCGAACCCAACCTGTTAAATTATGAGCCCAGCCTGGGCTCAGCCCAATTCATTATAGGACTAAAAATCTAGGCCCAGGTTTGGCCCAAACAATACTTAACCTATATAAATTACCAGGTTTAACCTGGCCTAAGTTCAACCTATTTTTACAAGCCCAGCCCGAACCCGGTCTAATTAACTTATGAGCCTAAAAATCCAGGCCCAGGCCTGGCCCAAACCCACAAATTATCGGGTTTGGCTTGGCCCATTGCACACCCTATCTGGACATAAAAAAATATTAGACAATGAGAAATTTAAATTATCTTGAATTAATTATAATAAGCTTATGCAGAATGGTTCGATAGAGTTAATATATATGGAATAGTAATGCACTTAAAGTGACATAATTCAAGCAAAAATTTATCCATAAATTAAAAAATTATTGTGAAATTGGTTACAAGAATCCATCATTTTTGGAATGTATTGGAGTATCAAGAAATAGTCATAGTGATTACATTATTGGTATAAAATATGTATTAAAAGGAACGTTATGACAAGATCTTGTATAACTATAACAACTAGGATGGAAAGATAAATTGAATATCTTGTACTATATAGCTTCGGATCTGGAGTCGATTCATTCACAAGAAGTTGTTCACAGAGATTTACATAGTGGAAATATTACAAGTATCACAACTAGAATGGAAAAATAAATTGAATATCTTGTACTGTATAGCTTCAGATGTAGAGTCGATTCATTTGCAAGAAGTTGTTCACAGAGATTTACACAGTGAAAGTATCACAACTGGAATGAAAGATAAATTGAATATCTTGTACTATATAGCTTCAGATATGGAGTCGATTCATTTGCAAGAACTTGTTCACAGATATTTACACAGCAGAAGTATTACAACTGAAATAGAAAAATAAATTGAATATCTTGTACTGTATAGCTTCGGATGTGGAGTCGATTCATTCACAAGAAATTGTTTATAGAGATTTATATAGTGGAAATATTTTGCAAGATAATTTGTATAACATATATATTACAGACCTTGGACTTTCTAAAAATATAAAAGGAAAAACTTGTGGAATTCTGCCATATATAGCATCTGAAGTTTAGTGGGACAACCGTACACTTCAGCATAAAATATTTACAGCTTTGGAGTTATTGCAACAGAGATTTCGACATGACAAAGAGCATTTGATAAAATTCTGTTTAATGGTAATCTTGTATCGAGAATTATCTCTGGATCAAGACCTAAATATTTAGGACCAGATTGTTATATTAAATTAGCCATGAAATGTATGGATAAAGAAGCAACCTACTGCAACAGAAATTATTGAAATAAGCACACATTAGTTAGATGAAATAGATCAGGAAGATAATAATAAAATCAAAAAACAAATTCTGGAGGCTAATAAGATTAAACCAGAATCGATCAAGCAAATACTACAAGTTTTATATATTAGCAAGATATATGATATGAAAAAATTTTTAAATATATCTGGGTTCAATAGTCTAACCATTAACTTGTCAGTAGAGCTTACTAATTTACTATTCGAATAATATTCGAATAATTTAGATTAACAAACATTTATTCGAATATTCGCTGAA